ACACACACACACACACACACACACACACACACACACACACACACGATGAGCTAGCTGAAGGGGCCTAGTGTCATCCTGCCTGCCTGCGGGACCTCCGTGCAAGTCCAATGCTGCCACGCCCAGAGACCAGCCACTGCGGCAAGTGGTCAAGCAAACCCACCCCTGGCGCTGCAGGCCCCTCCTCAGAGGCTGAGCCCACAGTGCCGGGCCAGCCAGGGGATGTGAGCCACCTGGACACAATGACACAAGCACGGAGGACTGCTAACCATGTGGTCACAGCTCCGACCACCAGGCTGCTCCTCGGGAGGCCTGTGATGACATTCTACCCTGACCAAAAGATGGCTGCGGGTCAGCGTGGGCTCGGTGGCAGTGGGCAGAGACAGGCTGCTTGATGGTCCCTCGTAGACAGAACATTTTCATCCTAAACTGAAGGGGGTGGCACCTCCGCTAGCCCATTTCCCCGCAGCCTGTGCCCACTGTGTCCGTCACCTTCTGGTGCTTTTCCCAAGGCATCACGCCCCTGTAAGCACCAGTTTCCCCAGGGCCAAGTCCCCACCCCTCCCGCGGCTGAGGCAGTCTGGAGGGGTACTGAAATGTCTGCGAGGCCGGTCTGCAGAGTGCAGCCTTCAACAGGGGCCGCATGCCCCCCACGCTGCGCTGCCCCAGCTGAGGAAGGGGAAGTGGGAGAAGCCAAGAGCGGCATGGGAACGCACCCAGCAGCTGACCAACCGTAGGAGAGACCTTGAGCGCAATTCCAACGTGCAGCGCAAGACGATTAACCTGAGGCTGCAGAGCCCGCGCCTGCGTGTCAGTGAGTGGCCCCAGCTCCAGAACAGGCTTGCCGCACGGAATACCAACCACCAAAGCCAGACGAGAGCAGGGTGGCATGCACATGGTGGAGGAAGCCAAAGACAGAAATGACTAGGTGCTGGGAAGAGACAAGTACAAGGTCAGAACAGAAGCCCGCCAAGGCTGGCTCCAGAGATGCGAGCAAGTCCAGCATTCAGGGAAAAAGAACGTGCCCAGGGTTTCCAAGGAAGGAAAGCACCCAGCCCTGAGCCAGCACTGAGACCTGCACGGGCAACCTGCTGAGCACCAAGGTGAAGCAGAGGCACCGAGCTGACAGGACCGGCCAGCTGTCGGCGTTCCCACACAGCCTGCAGGAGGAAGGGGTGCGGGCTGCAGTGAAACGGCGCTGCTTTACTAGAGGCTGCAGCGGTGGCAGGACACGGGCTGGCTCCACGTCACAGCACGTGGTGCCCCACTAGCCACACTCTCCATCTGTGCAGGGAACCACAGGTGGAGAGAGATCCCACACTTGCGCCCATCGAGCACCACGGTGACGGTCGCAGGCCAGACTTGGAAGAGGTGGTGGGCTAAGGGGAGTTACTGCAGTCCTTGGAGCTGAACAGGTGGGCAGAAAGCACAGGGTCCAAAATCACAGTGCACGACAGGGAGGTATCCAATCTGGCAGCTGCAGGTGTGGAGCAGGCTCCTAACAACCTGAGACACACAGGTGGCACTGGTGCTGCTGGAAGCAAGGTGGACATGAAGCCCGTCCAGACAACACACTCAAAGCAACACCCCCAGAAACCCAAGTTCCTCGCAAAGGGGCCAATAGGCCATGTACGTCATGACCATCAGCGAAAAGGCTGGCATCCCTGAGGACTTTATAACACTTGATCTGCAATCAGTGTCCATGAGGAGCCGCCACAGTCTGCCCAGTGCTCAGGGCCAATGTGACACACCTGGCGGACTAAGGCACACTTGCCCCCAGCCATGGATCTCAAATAGCATGAGAAAGTTAGACGATGGACAGGAAGAAGAGTGATGCCCACGGAAGCCCGTGGACTGTGAGAAGAACACAGGTACCCGTCTGGACTGCCCTTTAGAAGAGAAGCCCCACCCATGGTCCCCTGGGCGGCTGGCTGGTCCACAAGCATCACCAGCCCTACAAAGAGTGGCAGCACAGACCCATGGAACACATGGGCAGATCCCACACAGGAGTGGCACTGAGGTGTGGCCCCTACCAACTGCCCCTAGGACCTGGGCATCGAGGCAGCGACTCCTAGCTGACCCCAGGACCAAGGAACAGAAGCAGTGACCCCCAACCAACCCCACACAGACACTAAGGTAGTGATTGACCGCCGGGTGACCCCCAGGACACACACCCCTCCCCGCCATGCACAGCACCCATGGTGAGGTGGGCTAAGCACCATGAGGAATGGTGGGTGCAGGCCACTGCCAGGCAGCAACCCCTACCTCTGGCAAAGCAGCACTGGGGAACCGCGCTCCTGGCCCCCCGCACCCAGCAGCTCGTTTGGGGGGTGTCTTACCCGGCATCGCAGCCATCACAGAGAAGGAGCCGGTCCTCGCGATCGCTGCGGCCACACACCTCACAAAAGGTGGGGTCTTCCTCCTCGGCTTCAGCAGCGGCTTTGGTGTTTTCTATAGGGACCTGCCGGCAGGCGGGCGGGCGTCCCAACATTAGCACAGTGCCCCACTCTGCTCCAGCATCTAGGCACACAGGGCCCGTGGCCTTTCCTAGCTCCAGAGGCAGCAGCCTCATGGGAGCAGCTTCCCACTATGGGGCAACTCCGCCCCTGTGACCCGAGTCACCCAAGTAGCCCAGGGGGCTATGCGCCCAGGAGAGAGGGCCAAAGGCGCGAGCGGTCAAGAGGAGGTCCCAGAAGCTGCCGGCCTCCCACTCAGGGCTGACGGGGGTAGGGAGGGTGGGGCCAGAGCTCAGGTGCCCACCTCACAGTCGAGGCTTCACTGCCCAGGCTGGGGTCTGTGAGCGGACTTCTTAAACGGTTCTGTCAGTGCCCGCCTCCCTTCCTGACCAGGTGCCTGTGGTGCCCCAGTCAGTGGCAGCTGAAGGCCAGGCAGGAGGCACGTACCTTCCTCAGGATTTTCCCACCAAACCGGGCACGGACACAGATGCACTGGAACACGGTCCGGTCCACTGGGCAGGAATTGGCATTCTGAAGGACAGACCCACAGTCCAGGTTGGCAGGGTTCATAACCTCCCCGGAAGAACTCACTCAGGGCCAAACCCTGTGCACTCAGCAAACTGCGGAGGTCACAGCGAGGGCCAGAGGACAAGCAGTTAGTCTTCGGAGGGGACACCCAACCAGGCCCCTTCCTTCTGACTGAGGCTTCACCCACAGCCTCTGGGGACTGCCCAAGGTTCAGCTTCCTTTCCACGCCCACTGCGCCTTGGGGCCAGTGCTGCCGCCCCACTGGGCGTCAGCCCATGTACGTCAGCCCTTGTACGCTGCAGCTCTACATCAACCCACGGGGAAGCACGTGCCCTCTTGGCCATCCCGCCGCCCCAGCAGGTCTCCGCCATCTGCCTTCCTGGCCCGGGCGGTGTCTTTCTTGTCAGGTGGGCAGCTTTGCAATGAGCGCCCCTCGCGTTGGCCGGGGTGGGCTGCGCTGGGGCCCCTCCCATCAGGCTGCCTGAGCAAGGTCTTGAGGAGGGAGACCATGCCTGCCCAGGACCTGCTTTCAGTCCACACTCGGCACGGCCGGAGCTATGGGCAGTGAGCGTGATATCGGCCTGGCCAGGCCTTCGGCTTGCTCCTGCAGGGACAGCACTGCACGTCACAACAGAGTGCTCGTGGCCAGCCTGGGCGGGCCCCTCCTGGAGCTGACTTCAGGGCCCCGCAGGTACTCTGCAACGCCCGGCACACCTCTGCTGCTCAGCCTCTTCGTGGATGTCATCGTGAGCCCGGTTCTCCAGCACTCCCTCCAAGGAGTTTCTCACCGGCCAGGCCTGCCTGCTTCCCTCCCTCCCGCCCCAGACATGGACAAGCAGACAAGCCACAAGGGGCTCCAACAAGCTTCTTGCTAGCCAGCACTGCCTGCCTTCCTCCTCCCCTGGGATCCCTGCAGGAAGCTCCCCCGGACTACAGAGCCACCCTCCCTGACGAGGGCATGTGGCGCCAGGGTAGGAGTGCTTAAAGGATAGACTCCGGCCACCAGGCCTGGTGCCAGAGGACATGTCATCATTGTCAGGGCTGGCAATGGAGGAGGTGGTCTGCCAATACCTTGCTCTGCCTGTGTATATGTGCCTCGGTGGGAGGCAGGCATCTAACTCCTCCAGGAAAGGGGGGTAGAGAGGTGCGCTGTGCAGCACGGTGCTCTCCGCCCACCCTGGCCTTGGGCACGTCTCTGAAATTCCCTCTTATAAACGTTTTACTACGCAAGGCAGGACGGGAAACAGCACCTGGCTAACTAGTGTGAGGATAGGCCCCAACGCTGTACCCACTGCCAGGTGCTGGAGGGCAGCTGACAGGTTCACTACACCTACTCAGCCAAGGCGGGACTTCACCCCAATGCCATCACACTCGGTCCTGGTAAGCGCCCCGGGCAAGACGTCACCCTCTGGGGACGCACTGCCTGCCTCCTGAGGTCTGTGCGGCCTGAGCCCCGGGAGAGCCACCCACTGCCCTCCTCCCACTTCTCCACAGCTGGTACACAGTAAGACCCGGGGGCAGGCAGCCCATCCCAGGCCAGATGTGTCCACGGCCCCAGAGCAGAGGCCAGCAGTAGGTGCTCACCTTGGACCACTCCATGATGCAGTCCAAGCAGAAGTAGTGGGCGCAGGTCTCTGGGGTGCCCACGGCCTGATTCCGGAACGCATTGAGACAAATCGGGCAGCTCTCCCCATCACTGTCAGAGCTCAGTGCACCATCGGGGTCGAGCCTCTTCTGAGTGTCAGCCACTGAGGCCTCTGCATCCTCGTCCCCAGAGTCCTCAGAACCTGAGGAGGACAAACTGAGGCGAGTTCTTGGGCACAAGGCAAGTGGCCCGTGGTGGGAAGGCTCAGGCAGCCCACCCTCAGCTGTCCTCTTAGGAAGGCTGGCTTCCGACACCAGAGGTCACACTATGCCGGCCAGTGCACTGCACCCCACAGAGGCAGCGTCCAGCTGAGCCCTCCCCGCTGCCTGCACCCGCAGCCTGACAGCCAGCAACGGAGTCACTCAGGGTGGAGTGTGTCAGAGCCGACCCCAGACACCTAGGTCACCTGGGGGGAGCCTTGGAGAAAACTACTAGCGAGGGGCTTCCACGAGACACAGGAGGATGACAGACCTGTGCCCACCACTGGCTGGGCCACATGCCAGGTGACCTCACGGTGAATCTCGAGAGGGGGTGGGGGACAGGATATGGCACGGAACTCCGGCAGTCAAGCCAAGGCAGGGCAGAACTGCCCTCAGAGCCCGTGCACAGCTGACGGCAGGGTTACCCTCCAGAAAGGTAGACAGGGCCGTCAGAGCTGCAAGCCAGCTAGGGGCCCAAATCCTGGGTCATCTGGAAGAAGAACTGACGACAACAGCTCTCACTACCGTCCAGTGAATGGTGACTCGGAGTGACCCTGCAGGGTAGGGTAGACTGCCCTGTTTCCAAGGCTGAGAGGCTCATCTTCCTCAGCGTAGCTGGTGGCTTCCAACCCAATACGGAGGCCACTCTGCCGCCGGGACCCCCAGACAAGTCCAGGAGAAGGTAATGCAGGCCTCATCAGTCTGGTTCCCAGGGCTTGCCCTAACACTGGGACCCGAAGAAGACAAAGGCCACCATGACAAGCCACAAGGGTCAGTGCTCAGAGCTGGCCGCTGGGTCATCTGCCCAAGCCATTCCACCCCATGCCATGTGGCTTGTGCTGTCACACTGAACTCTAAAGCCAGAGGATGGTCAAAGGGAGCCACCGGCCCGCCCTGCCTGTGTCCTGGAGTGCTGGAGGCCAGGAGCAAGGCCCCAACCCTCACACCCACCAGGGTGTGTGGTCCCTACCAGATCTGTCGTCCAGGTCCTCAGACGCCCCCTCCTCTTCCTCCTCCTCTGTGCCACCCAGCTGCTCGCTGCCCGTGTCATCATCGGAGTCCCCACTGTTCCCATCGCTGCTTTCTTCTAGACCAGGGACACACACAGGTACACACGCACAGGGGTGTGTGTCAGTAGAGCAGGAAGGCGTCCCAAACATCTCCTCCTCCTCCTCTCTGCACTGCTCTCTGCTCTCTCAGACCACAGGAAAGGACAGAGTAGGTCCAAGAGTGACAATCAAAGGCCCAATGGCAAGAGATGGCTACTTGAAAATCCAAAGCTGCAGGTGCCCCCCCCCCCCCCACGGGGCCCTCAGCTTCTCCTGGAGACTAAGAGCCATCCCCACCCTCCCAGTGAAGAGAGGGCACCGTAGTCCTGGAGGCCAGCTCACCGACATCACTGGCCAGGATGGCAGGCCTCCGCCGCAGGCGTCTGCCAGGTCCCGTGACACGCTCTGCAAGCTCGTCCAGGCTGTCGTCGTCCATGGCTGGGCATCGGCGCTCCAACCTGCAAGACAGCAGTCTGCAGCCATGCCCACACTGCTCCCGACCAAACTGGTCCCTTAGAGCCCCCTAGCGGTGCCCTGCACACCCAGGCCCAGGTTCCCATTGACAAAGCCCTGGAGGCAGGAGGTGACAGGCCAGAGCCCCTAGCTCTGACACACAGGACGACATCTATGGGCAGCTGTGACATTCTGTGTCGGAGAAGGACCAGTTCTAGGCAATCAACAGTGACCTCAGCAGGGCTGACCTCCTGCCCTCTCACCTGGCCTCTACCCACGCTCACACTCGGGCCTGTATCGGGCAGTGGATGGCGGCCCCACTTGGTGCTGTGCCCACTACAGGGTGTACTGCCCATGCTGCTGCAGCAAAGCCACCACGAAGACACCACCAGCCAAAGCCAAGACTCACGCGCCTCCTGCTACACTCAGCAGCACGCTGTCCACGATTGGGTCCCCCACGCCAGCCCTGAGAAAGGTCACCAGCCCGCAGAGTGCCTTCCTCAAACACACATCCCAGCTCACAGGGTGTCCTGATGGGAGCCTGCTCACCAGGTCCCAGAGATCCAGCGAAGCAGCCCCTTGGACACCACAGTGTGGCAGGGCCACCGAGCCCGAGGCCAGAGAAGACCTCCCTTCAGCTGCCTCTCTTCTTTGCCTGGTGTCTGCCTGCCCCAGCCTCGACAGAGACGGGAAAGCCCATGAGCAGCCCACAGCCTATGCTCCATCTGTCCTGCGCTTGGAGGGGCCTGAACCTTTCCCGTGGCTCCGGACCCTAAGCTCCCTTTAGGCTGGGCTCAGGGGCCTCATGGGGGGTGAGTATTGGCACCCTACTGGGCAGCAGGGTGACCAGCACTCCTGTTTGTGACAGCACCTCTTGTTGGCCCTGCCCAACACTGGAGGACGAGGGTGGTCAAAAAGCACAGACCCACTCCCAGCCCAGGGTCCAGGTGACCTGACCTCACAGCATGCTGGTCCTGCCTAGAGCAGCTGGAGGAGCTGGTGGGAGGGAGCAGGTGTGCAGGCTCTGGTGGCCTCCGTGGGTGCCCTGAGACGAGGGCCAGCAGTGGCCACAGCTTTCAGGTGAGAGAACAGTCCAGCTCTCTGGCCTGAGCTGTGCAAATTCCCACCAAGAGCCTTGTATCATCACCTGCTCTGACACTACGCTGGCTCCCACTGGAGGGAGGGAACTGAGGTCCTGCTTCAAGGGTGCTGCTGTGACCCAGGGCCAGGTCCTCCAGTCAGAGGGCACCTCATGTGCGTCCCCACCCAGAGACCCTACGGCAAAACTCGCCATACTCAGGACAGACCATTCTTCTAGCGAGGCTGGCAGCAGCTGGGTCCTGTCAGGACCCCAGGAGGCCTCCAGCAGTTCCTTTGAGCAAATCCAAGGAAGAGATGAAATTTAGGGTGACCACCCGGAGCCCAGTCAGTGGTCTCATTGTCAGCCTGGCTCGGACCCATCTGCCTGCCAGCATGACACCTTGGGGAGGGAACCCAGCTCTCCCTGCAGCTGGTCGTCCTGCTGTCTGAGGCCAACCAATCAAAGACTGTAGAGCAGAGGTTCTCATGTGGGTCACAACCCCTTTGAGGGCCGAACGACCCTTTCACAGGGGTCGCCCGATTGGTAACAGTGGCAAAATGACAGTTATGAAGCAATGTTATGGTTGGGGAGTCACCACCACATGAGGCACTGGACGAGAGGGTCAAGGCAATAGGAAGCTTGAGAGCCACTGCTGTAAAGACTGCCCTGCTGGTCTCCAGACTTGGGGGAGGTCCCTGGGAAGAGACAACCCACTCCCTTCTCTTGGCACATTCAGGAGCTCTCCCCAAGGAGGGGGTGGGGGGGACACAAGCTGCCGGCCCTTCCTGTGGCGCGGGGCCTGTCACCTCATTCACCAGCTAGCACACGGGCCACACGCCGCAAGTGCTGGCGGAACCCAGCCGCTACCGGGCTCCACAAAGGTCCCGGTAGGCGGAGTGGCGGTCGCTCCGGCCGGAGGAGGGCTGACGCGCGGGGCCGGGGGCTGGAGCGCGGCTGCGCGCACAGACGCTGGTGGCTGCTACTTTGACTGGCCACGCGATCCAGCAGAGAAAGCAAAAAAGGGAGGAAGCAGCTGACTGACCCGGGGCCGAGTGGAAGGGGTGCTAGGTCCTAACCCACCGTCCCGTGGCATGTAGAAGCCCAGGGCTCAGACCGCGTCGCCGGCCGTGCT